GACACTATGCTGATCAAAAGTTATTTAAAGCTTTTCTCTATGTCAAGGGGCGTGGCCACTATGGTGCTGCCCTCGCCACCAAATACGTTTGGCTTTTTGATGGCTTCAGTGACCTCATATCCTCATGAAAATTGATACACACGTCAAGAATGGCGAGCTCTTGCATCTGATAGGGGCGTCGCCCATGGGGGGGGGGACAAAATGCCTCTATAGCGCCCCCTTGAAATTTTCAAAAACCCCTCTCCATAGGGTTTTTTTTGGAGCAGGAAGATGAAAATTTGTACATATGTGTATGTTGCCCAGATGCACAAAAAAAGTCTCTGGCACCAATAGTCTACTTCAAACAGGAAGTCACCCATTTTGATTTAAACTTTTCATTTTGGTGGCGATTTTGTGATTTCCACAACTTTGTATTTTAACAAACTCCTCCTACAGATTTTGTCCGATCAACTTCAGATTTGGTACAGATCATCCTGAGACCATGCTGATCAAAAGTTATTTAAAGCTTTTCTCTATGTCAAGGGGCGTGGCCGCTATGGTGCTGCCCTCGCCACCATATATGTTTGGCTTTTTGATGGCTTCAGCAACCTCATATACTCATGAAAATTGATACACAGGTCAAGAATGGCGAGCTCCTACATCTGCCCATGGGGGGGGACAAAATGCCTCTATAGCGCCCCCTTGAAATCTTCAAAAAACCCTTCCCATAAGGTTTTTTTTGGAGTAGGAAGAAGAAACGTCACACCACATCAGGGTTAACTTACTCTGATTTTTCACATAGCAGCTTCAGTGATGCGTGCTCCTGGCCCCCTGCGGTGGCGCAGGAGAGCGAGGGCCCGATCACAGCTGCTTGCAGCTTTAGTTATTCTTATTCTTCCCCAAATGAATTGCCTTTTTGGGAGACTTAACATACCCGAAAATTCATGAAACTTTGCACACATCTCAGAACTGGTGAAAAATCTGATATTTTAAGGGTCTTGTGCGCGGGTTCCAAAAAATGGCTCAGTAGCGCCTCCTACAAAAGTTTGAAGAAACAGCCCCTGAAGCTAGTTTAACCTACATGTATATGAAACTTGGTAGGCTTATGTAAGGCTCAGAGACATACAAAAAAGCCTCTTGGAGGCATGCTCTAAACCCAACAGGAAGTCGGCCATTTTGAATTTACCGTGCAATTTTGGTGCATTTTTGGCCATTTCCAGGGGACATAAATGAACGAACTAGTCCTAGAGATTTCATCCGATAGACTTCAAACCTTGGTCTGTCCCAACCCAAAACCTTGAAGATGAAAAGTTATCAAAAGCTTGAGTTTTCGTCAATGCGTGTGACTGTGGGATGGCGTCAAAGTTAGGGGTTTCGCCACTAAACAGGAAGTAGTTTATAACTCCAGCATACATGGTCCAATATTGACCAAACTTCACAGGAATGATGACAGTCCAGACCTGAACACATCTACATATCAATAATTAGAGATAAAAATAGCGCCCCCTACTGGCAACAGGAAATGTCATGTTTTAGACTTTAATGTACATCTCCTACAGAATTGATCAGGTCCACCTCAAACTTGGTCAAAAAAGCCATAAGACGTTGATGACGCTTTATTGTGCAAATTGTGAGTTTTTGTCAAAGGGCGTGGCCACGGCCTGGCGGCAAACTTTGATGTTTCGTTGTGATGATAAATGTTGCTGTAACTTGACTCCACGTGGGCATATCTTGCCAAAACTTCACACATATGATGACAGTCCAGCCCTGAACACAACTACAGAGGAATTTTGAATCACCACCATAGCGCCACCTACTGGCAACAGAAAGATACTTTATACATTATTTGATGTCCCTCTTCTAGCAGGTTAATCAGACCCACCTCAAATTTGCTGATCTAAGTCCTTAGACCTTGATGATGCTTAAAAATGAAGCTCTTGAGTTTTCATCAAATGCTGTCACTGTGGCGCTGCCTTGTTCGCCATTAAACACGATGTTGATTTGAAGGGACAAGGGATGCTTGAAAACTCACCAAACATGGCATACACATCACAGGTCGCAAGTCCTGTTGTCTGATGTCATTGTTGTGCTTTGATGCACCAAGATGGCTCAGTCCATCATTTTGAATTTACTTGTGCTACTTTTGTGCATTTTTGCCCATTTCCAGGGCTTGTAAATTAATGAACTTGTCCTACAAATTTAATCAGATTTGTTCCAAACTTGATTTATGTGAGCCTGACAATGTTGTAGTGTTGTCACGATACCAAAATCTTTGTTTCGGTACCAATACCAATATGAATTTCGATACTTTTCGATACTCTTCGGTACTTTTCCTAAGGAAAAGTCCTTTTGAATACAAACCTTTAGAACAATAAATAGTAGGGGTGTAACGGTACCAAAAAAATCATGGTTCGGTAAGTACCTCGGTACGGACGTCACGGTTTGGTAACTCAAATGTCCCACCAAGTTTGTGTTGTCTCGTGTTGTCTCCCTTTGCGAGGCAGACTTTCTCTTGTCTTTTTTCACATGCGCCAGCTGCGAATGTTGATACAGGTGTTTTCATACACACCACTTGCGCAATCTGTGCTCCAATAGGAACAAGAAAGCCGTTTGTGTGCATAATTGAGTAAAATAAATTAACTAAATTAATGAATTGAATCAATTTCAAAGTACCGGTATTTTCCAAATGCAGTATAGTACCGTTTGGAATACTCTAGTACCTTGGTACTATTTTAGTACCGGTATACCGTGCAACACTACTATGTTGAGACCAAAAGTTATTACAGGATCTGCCCAATGTTGAATGGCGTGCCCACTGTGGAGAGTTGAAGTTTGAGGTCTCGCCATGAAAAACGAAATTGCTTTAAGTTTGGTGTAAATGGTCCGATATCCACCAAACTTCACATGATTCATATTAGTCCTGCCCTGAACACATTTACATAACCATATTTCCTGATACTGATAGTGCCACCTAGTGGTGACAGGAAATATGTCTCATCAAACACTTATCTTTCAATTTATCTTAAAGTTACATGCTGTGGTGTATATTTGATGTATAAAAACATGATGTATAATTAGTGTGCTCTCCAACTACCTCTAGTGGAAAGAGGAAGTGATACAAAATGTGAAATATGTCATTCCAGCACTGTATCAAGGATATGCCAAGTCACTCCTGCATGCGATGTCTAACTTTGACAGAAATGAGCTGACGCGCTAGACAGCGTCCTGCCAGCCCCCCCGACTTGCGTGAAGGTGCGAGGGCCCGTTCATCGCTGCTTGCAGCTTTAATTATATTTGTTTTTTGAAATTAAACATTTTGAGCACATTTCAACAATACCGCGATGATAATGATTACCGTGATATGAAATTGTCTTTTTTCTTCTAATCTCTAGTTCGGACCAATAACGAGAGCCTGGTGACACGACGTTAGACCAATAATAATTGAGTTCTTTGATTCATCAAAGATCAAAGTAGCGTGTTGAGCCCCACGCTTCGCGTCAGCTCACAGGTTCTGGTCTCTTCACTGCCAGCCTGGTGACAAGCGAGATCCCAAGCGGAGGAGGAGATGACAGAGGAGCAGGGGACTAACAGGGCAGCTTACAATCGATAGGAAAGCAAAGTGTGAAGTGAGGAGAGAGAGTGGGAGTGACATGCAGCAAAGGGCCACAGGCTGGAATCGAACCTGGGCCGCTGCGGCAACAGCCTTGTACATAGGGCGCCTGCTCTATCCACTAAGCCACCGACACCCCATGATTTTTTTATTTTTTTTTTTTGGCTTCTTGATTTCTTGTGCTCTGGTTGATTAGGATGGGAGCATTGCTATGTACATGTTTTTATGGTTGAATAAATAGAATATTTGATGTTTGTGGTATCTGTGAACAGCTTTTGCTCATCTTCAGCTTGAATTAAATACTGAGATTCAGGTTAAGGATTTCAGCTGCACTTTAGATGTGTGAAACACCTTAGAAATGCTGGTGAAATACAGACTGAGGGGCAAATTCACAAAGAATGGGTTGTGGCCACTGATAGCACCATGACCTGTGATGGCTAACCGCACTGTCCCAAGGTCCGATTCACAAAAGATATTGTGCTAATGGTATTACAGAGCAAATGAGCTCATTAAGTTTTACAGCTGAGAGCAGTTTGCAGCAGGCAGATCATCATCATTTCAGAGAAAAAGAAATGGTCCAGGTCCTGAGCGACAACGTGCAGAGGCATTCCTCAGAACTTAAGGCAAGGAATTTAATTGTGACAAAGAGAAACTGTATTTGGGATTTAATATCTCTGTCTGTCAGTGCATTTCAGTTCCCATCAACCATCTGAAGATGCTGATAATTTCATTATAACTGCATGTGGCTGTTAGTGCCGATCTTCTTGAATTGGATTGTTTTTGCTATAGGCTCATTTGCATAGAAAGGGGCCAATTTTGTACCAATTGTATAAATATTACTCAATTTATATATGTGTAACAAGCACAGGAGCACTGAGACGCTGATTGCTCAGCAGCACAGTGAGGGATGCATTTTACCCTTCCTGGATGCATTGAGAATTACACAGTTTCTTTTTGTATCTGTACAGATTTAGCGGCCGCAAAAGCTGCCTAATCTTTCTGTAAATTAGTCTGTGATTGTCATTACTCAAAATTGACCTGCTCACTTTACTACACACAACACTGTGAGTGACGAATATCACATATACATGTTAGGTTGTTGTTAATGAGGCGTTTGTGACAGCTGGTGCGGCCACAGAGCTATGGATGAAAACATAAAGGGTGGGGATTCCCTCCATATGCTGGGAGTCATGGAAATCTGTCTTCAGGTTTTCAGCTGCTTGTAAATCCAGTGAAGGCGCAGGGCTGAAGGTGAGCTGCTGGTTTGTTTTCCATTGGTTTCACGGCTGCAGAGTCAAGAGGAAAGACAGCAGAGTTTGTGGTTTTTGTTCTTTTGGGAAGGAGCGCCCTCCAACAGCAGCAGACTGATGACAGCTTAGATTTAACACCACTCCATCTCCCTCTCTCTAAGGTTTCCTGTCTCAGCCATATTGCTGCTAACTATCTGAACGCAGGGAAGGAGGCGAGGCGCTGGGGGACCGCCCATGAGAGCATCGTACCTTATCAGGTAACAGCCTGCAAGTATCTCTTTAAAATCAGAGGTGTTTATGTCAAACCAAGGACTAATAATTTTGGGGGTGCTTGTCAATATGATACCCACTCATGAAATCCATGTCTACACACATGACACACCTGTTAATTGCAGCCCATAGTGAGTATCTGCCCAGATCTCTGTGGGTCATATTAATACAGACTGTCATTTTAACTGTTGAGGTTTATGTCTCTTGTATATCAGTTCACTCCAGGGCTGCAAACCTTCAAAAACTGTGGTTTTGAATCCAAAATAGGCCATTTGTGATTTGTGTAGATCCAACGAGTTTTTAAATGGAGGATGGTGGAGGGGTCTGTGAGTAAGTAAGTCAATTAGGTCAGGCTGCTGAAACAAGACAACTTCACTACAAACTCTCATCAATACGACACATAAATATGTTAAACACGTTTTGTTTTGCATCGACTCTGCGTGCTTTATGGCAGAAATGGATGACTCAATAATTATATCGTAATTCTTTGATTTACACTTGCTGTCCACTTTATTGCTATGATTACACTTGCTCTATCTGGCTTGCTGCTGCACTTGATAGTCAGTGGCAGTGATCAGGTACCATGGAGGAAAATTTCGCGCTTACTGCAAAGATAGCCTGCAAGTCTGTGGTTGCTGAAGTAGATCAGTGCAGTGGAAGTTCAGTTAAAAGTAAATGTATGGAGAGGCGGCACTTCTCAGATAAGGGGGTGAGAATAGACTGAAAGCAATGCCAATACAATGAGCTGCAGCATTTACTGCAGGTACTCGACAAGAAGTATTTTTGATCCTTTACTGCAGTAAAAGTCCTAATAATACCACACTGTTAAAATACTCCACTACAGTTTAAAGTCCTCCATTTAATATCGTGCTATAGTAAAAGTATCTTTGTAAGCATTATCAGCAAAATGTACTTGAAGTACAGTGTAAATGTTCTCACTGTGCAGCATAATGTTTTCTATCAGTATTTTTCTATTCTATCTGATGTTTTTGGATTATTATTCCTGCTGCATTAATGTGATTTTATATGTTTATTTTACTGCTGCAGATGTTTCAGGTTGTGCTCATTTTAGCTCCTTGATATCCTGTTGGATAGTTTAATCTACAGCAATGCATCATATTCTATGTTTGTTGTGTGGCTGTCCTGTGAGAACCACGTATCTCTAAAATTTCAGATCAACAGCCTGTTTTCAGCTTTATGCGATGACTTTTCCAGCTGATCCAAGGTTTTTTTAAAGAGTATTTTTAGCTTCAGAAGGGGGATAATTTTCTCAACACATAAAGGATCACTCCATCCTTCAGTTTATCGCAAACATTCAACATCTGGAGATACATGGTTTTCACTGGACAGGAAGGGGATGATGAACTGGGATCTGAAAGGTAACTAAAGCAGACAAATGTAGCGCAGTGAAAAGTACAATATTTACATCTGAGATGTAGGAGGAGAAGTATAAAGTAGCATAGAATGAAATACACAAGTAAAATACCTCAAAGTTGAAGTACAGTACTGAAGCAAATGTACTTACTTCCACCATTGCAAACATGACCTGATCATTTCTGTGTGTTCGCTTTTGTGTTCGCTTTTATTACCATCCCCCAAGTTTTCAATTTGGCAGCTATTTAGTCTTGTCTTGAGACAAAAAATGTTTATTAGTTTAAGTCACATTTTACTAATTTTTAATCTTCATAGTTTTAGTCAATAACATACCATTTTAGTCAACGAAAATTCATGACATTTTAGTCAATTTTTGGTCATTCAGTCAGTATGTCTTCTATATGTTTTTAAATCTTTAAACATATCCAGTGAGGCTAATTCATGTATCAGAAATTAGAATCATGGTGACAGGTTGTATAAAAATCTCTAGACAATTTTTTTGCAACTACAAATAATTTCACATTCACAAACAGTCATTTCTCCAGCAGTTTTCTGACAGGTTTAAGGGGTGATTTACGAGCACACACTTACTGACCATCATTTGAAAAGCTTAACATCTCTCTATGTATGCTTTAAAAAACTTTGACACCACAAATAAATAATCTGAGACAACTAGGATTTGTGCCCAGGTTCACTGTAAACTCTGACTTATCCATCTCACTGTTTAAAAGCAGAAAAATAACTTAATTAAAGCCTGAATTCTTTCTTTATCTGCAACATATTAGTCTGGACATTCAAACTCATGTCCTCTTACAGAGTCTGTGATTAAAACTAAACTTTCATCTCTGTCACAGAAACCTGATCTGAATTCAGACTGTTTACTGACAATACAGCTGCACTCACAGATAACTGAGCCTCCTACCTGCCTGTCATACAGCATCAAAGCATAAACCTTCTCAAATCCTGACTTAGAGCCAGTGGCTGCTTGTTCCACTGCCATTTAGTGGCTAATGAGCAGAGCTAACTGGTAACAGCCACTGCTCCAACTAACAAACTCCACACAACTCTGTTTTTGCTGGCTAGTGAAACATCCTGGCGCAAACTATTTATTGGAGTTTACCAGCCCGTCACCCATGCGGCATTTGAAGATAATTACTAGCACGGCCGTTCTCAGCTGTCAATGTACTATAGTCCACCACTAACATTTTTTCCATCTCATGTCATTAACGAAAATGTAACATAGATTTTGTTTCAGTTTTTTATTATCAACTCTATTTTTAACACGTTATCATCTCGTTTTCGTCATGGAAAAAAGGTCGATGACGAAAATGTCGTCGTAGTTTTCGTATACAGTGGGAGCCACTCAAAAGTTGCCCTGTTTCCATGACTGAACCTCGGCAGGTCCGCGGCAGGTCTGTGGCAGATCCGTGACTGCTTGCCGCCTGCTCCGTGGAGTTAATTTAATCCCCCGCGATGATGTAGGAAATGCAGCCCTGACTTGTAACGCCCCTAGAGACCTGTGTGAAAACCAGTTGCAATGCTTCATTTGTCCACAGGGAGGAGCAGTGACTATCACCAAAATACTGTAATATCTGCAGATTTGGGAAAGACAGCTTATCAGCTGGTCCATGGCTCCACAGAGCCACTATTTAGCCCAGTAGCATTTTATGACGAATGTCGAATTACAACTACTGTATGCAACCCATATTTTTTTAAATAATATTACCATGTGAAAAGCCAAGAGGATGCTCTCTTTTATCTTTCAAAACCTACTTGTCCCTGTGTTTCCCGTTAATTAGGCTACCCCAGTGTAATTAATCTCCATCTCATTTACTGTTCTTTTGTGTGACTTTTTTGCCATGTTATCATGATTCAAACTGAGGTATTTGGTGAAGATCCAAGAAATAAATAACATCGATCCGTACGAGCTACCTGCAGCTGGAGCAGGGACCTAGACGTGTTGCCACCCTGTACCTACATGCAGTTGTTTCACTACTTAGTTTTCGGCATTAGTTACTATACTATGTGGGAATTTAAAAGCCTGAAATCACTGGACAGTCCCACTAAGACATGGCATAATGGTTATGTGTGTTCTGTGCGTAAAAGGCAGCCATGGACCACACTTTGCCACGATGACACACACACACACACACACTCACTCACAAGGTGAAAACAATACCAGGCATCACGGTGTGTCACGGCTGGTGAAAATGTTATTTAATAAGTTCACCAGCAATTTGTCTTTGTAGAAAGAGTGTCCCTGGTACTCTGGATAATCCACAGACCTCACTGTCAAGATTTTTTGTCATAGGGACTTCAGCTGAAAGCACTTCCAAGGAAAACTAATAACACTGGGTCACTGTTTCTGAAAAGATGTGTTGCTTTTGAATCTGTTAAATGTTTCCAATGTTGTGAGCATCGCAAATGAAATGCCTTCCACCGTAATAGAGGGTGGAGGCATCAATATCAAATATCTCAAAATAAATCCAAAATGATCCGCATGGAAAGATAGCCGTGCGTCAGCCAGGAAACGCATCTCTACTGTGTAGCCTCCTGCTCAGACGCAGGCAGCATATATTTCTCTCTCTGCACAGAGATGCATTTATTTATAGTAACCACGTTTTATAGTGAGCAGCATATAGGCTACATGTCCTCTACAAATCCCGACCAAGTTTGGATGAACGAGTCACATGCAATCTGACAGGAAATGAAGGCTGCTCATCGGTCCTGTGCGCCGCTATATGCAGGACGCACGGATTACATGAGAGGAGCGAAAGGATCCACGGTATAATTAACCACAAAACACGTAAATAACTTCATATTACTGGCGTGTAACACTCAATGCTTAAGCTGAGTCCTCTACGAAATGAGAATGTCCATTTGAAATAATCTTCTCATGTTTAATGTCGGAAAATGAATTAAATTTGTTCAAGACTCAAACTGATCTTATTTTGCATGATGATCTCAAACACACTTGACTGACTTATATTTTCATTAGGCTATTATTTTTTTCGTTATTGTATAATTATTTTCAGTAAATCAGGCAAACTTATTCTATTGGAATTTATATTTATTTTTGTGTGATATTTTACACAGCTGCAATGCGCAGCAGAGTGGTATTTCCCCAAAATGTAATAAGAAAGACAGTAGAGGTTTTTTTTTTTGCCATTTGCGTGTTTTTATTGAAGGTGCAAACACTATTAGGCTACACAATCAACGAAAGCCCAGGCGCTGCGACTCTCGGTCAAGCTTTCTGGGGCTCTTCAGTCTCTCGTTGATGTGGTCTCAGATCCTGTGCCACTGGTCCCTGCAGACAGGGGCAAAAGGATCAATGCACAGCCTCCGTTTCCTTTCTGATTGCATCCGTCTCGTTCATTCAAACTTTGTAAACACGGTTGGGATTTGTAGGGGACATATGTATGCTGCTCACTATAAAATGTGTTTACTATAAATAAATGTATCACTGTGCAGAGAGGGCTTAAAATCTTCATCAGCAGGTCAACAGGAGAGAAGGTCCACTTTTGGAAATGCATGAAAGCCCTGAGTCAGGAGCACAGACTTTTCTTTTTTTCATTCAAGGTTACAGATAATGCTGTTATGTTCCTTAAATGGC